CATTACGCATACAATTATATATTATGAGGTTAATGCAAGTGTAATATTAGTATCTATTGAGTATTGTATATTTAATTTAAATCTTCTGTCTCCTGAAGTTGCAAAACATCTAGGTGAAGTTTGCAAAACATGTTAATAATTTTGTTAATGACATGGCTAGGTTAACCTAAATAATTGTATCTTATATTTCATTCATTTTGAAAACCCATAAAAATCAGAAACATATTAAATTGCTATTTTGTAAGTTAACTTTATTGCGATATAATTATTGCTTCGTAATGCAGTGTAATTTGTAAAAGTTGTAAAAACCTCCGAGTACTAACATATGTCACTTATATTGAATATGGATACTTATGTTAAATATGACCCTTATACCGTCGAAAATGAAAAATTTGAAGTTGCTTAAAGTTGTACTTAAAAATTACGATACAGACTGTCCGTATTCCTTGATTGTTTAGTCTACCACCCACTTGCACAACGTATTTCAGAACTACTTCAAAATACAAACACATTAAAGGCGTGAGAACAGACGTAAATCGAGAAAAAAGTGTGGCGATTCACTTCACGCGTAGCACCCCCAACCCCCACCCGTTACAAAGGTCCTCGTCAGTACAGAAAGTTGGGGCAAATATCACTTTATGGTCAACCGCTCCCTTGGGAGAAAACAGGATTATATGTAGGAGTCACTTTCAACTCATGTATGTCTTTTACTACGCACATTAACAACGTCCGAAATAGAGCCACGTTTCGTCTCCGGCCGGCTACACAATTTAACCAATGACAAAAGTAAAATGCCCTTAAAGCACAACTGTTATATAGAGCTTGCGTGCGGTCAATCATGTCCTACGCATGCGTGATCGTCGCTCATACAAACCCTATTCGCATTAAGCTATTGCAAGTAGTTCAAAATAAGTTTATCCGTGGCAGTGGTATCAGCGCAACATCGACCTGCGCAGCATGATTGAAAACTTTTGATATCTCAATTATAATTATAATTTTATAATACCACTTATAATTAAAATTTCACAAAGGTAAAGCCGTTTACCTTTTGGCTAAAGCGTCAGGCCGCGAATGGCGAAGACGTGGCTTCGATTCCCACAGCGGCGACAGTCTTTTCGTACTTTTTATACAAATTTTAATGTTTAATCTTAAGTGCAGAGATAAGCACTATAAAAAATTTAAATTTCTAAAAAGCAATGGCAACATCTCTCGTTAAAATTAACGTTGTAAAACGATATTCGAAATTGTTTGTATGCTGGAAAGACATAACAATGGATGCGCCAAGTATCGCTTCAAATGCTAAAAAACAATGTAGATAAAACACTTTAAGATTTTCGTCGGTGTGGGAATCCACCGTTTAGCTTAGTGGCTAAAGCTTCAGGCCACGAATGACGAAGATGTGGGTTCGGTTCCCACAGCGGCACTGTCGCCGCATTTTTCGTACTTTTTATAAAAAAAATTAACCATTTGTAATTCATTATTTAATTGCCGTCGCACGCAACTTCTGTTAAATTAATATCTCTTTCAAAAGTGGAACTTTTTAAGAATCGTTGCCATTTCAAACTGATTGAAGCGAATATGCATGAAGATAAAGAGACAAGCATATGAATATTGAGATAAACATAAGGTTAAAGCGGCGAGAGAATGAGATAGAATACATTACACAATTTATATTCTTGGTTTTATTTGTGCCATGCTTCATAGCCTCCCCAATGTCGTCTACTAAGCATTATATGTGTGCGCTCGTATATATAGTATAGCTAAAGTGAGAGAGCATGCGTCGCTCTGTATTGTATATTATCTAATACTTACTTCCATCCGAGCGTTTTACGTGTTTTTAAAAAAGCGTGTAGACCTGTACATTGCGAAGCCATGCAAAAAGGCATCGTGTTGTAGAGTGTAGTGTACTAGGTATTTTTATATTGCACTGATACTTGCTTCAGTTCTAAGTACGTATGTTATTAAATTTGTTATTACGTGTGTATGCAATGTGCGCAAGCCGCTGTATTGTTTATGTTTAATCCTACTCCTGATACTCTATATTCAACTCATTCTATCATAGGTTACTTTTCTAAAGTTTCACTTGGATATAAAGCGCAGCGTGGTTGGTGTTGAGCTAGACATATTTAAAAATTTTCTTTTGAATATTTTAAACATTAAATTTTAATAGAATTTTCTAAAAGTTAGACAATTATCTAATTGTACTAGCTCAATAGATAGTTCATTTGATTTCTATTTCTACAGCTCTTGCAATAAAAGCGGCGCTTAATCATAAAACTAATTTTTAAATAATTACACGCCAAGATGCAAGAGTTGGAGTTGGAAGCTCTCCCTCTTAATATTACTTTTTCTCTATATCTATTACTTTTTCCAGAACTTGGATTTTTTTTTCGATTCTCGAGAGGCAATAAAAAATGCATTTGAATAGTTTGTTTCCCCTCGTTCAGGTGAATTTTCAAGAAGGGCATCAATAAAATACAACTGCGTTGGCAAAAATGCATCGATTGCATGCTTTGAATTGAATAATATAAATCAAAAAGTTAAAAAAAATACTTTAAATTATTTCATATAAAACGGCAATTTCATAGGTACAGACCTAATAATAAAGTAAGTCTCAATAAGTACGGCTTCTAAAGCATACTTTTTACCTGCCCCAGGCTGTGAATAAGAAATTATACGAATAGTTATAATTTTGTAGTTATCATTACCCATTCGCAACAATAAATTCTTGTTAAATAAATAATATTTATCTCTGAACCACAAGTTCCATCCAATAGCTCAGCTTGCCATGTCGGCGACTCAGCTTAATAACTCCGCCGCCTTTATATAACTGAACGCAATGACGTTGCAGAGATGCGCAAGATCTGACCTCGTCTGGTTTTATCCTAATGAATAATTGTGGTAATGCAATTACTATAAATATAATCCTTTATCGGTTGAAGCAAAGTGGTTGTTTGTAAGCGAAGTGTGTTTATTTCTTTTTATATGTATCTATATGCAAGAATTTGCAGCATTAAATTGTAAATGAGCATTTTTTTAATTTGTAACAACAACTTATTTTTTAACTCGGATTTCTACGTACGATGATTTAGGTCGTTTATAACTCTAAAGACACTTTGTTCTATCAACTTAATCGTAGACGGTGGATTTATTTGCTTTTCACGTCAAATCATTCAAGACATTCCTATATTTAAATAAAGACTACGTCACCTTTTTCCAGGCCTAACCAAAATAAATCGGCATTTAAGAAATTAAAAACCCCAAAATCAGTCTCCATCAAAAATTATTCGTCTGAAAAAAAATTACACGCAAAAACATCCTACCAACAAACACATTCCGCTCTTATAATATTAGCCTTTTCTTTAACTTTAAGGGACACCCTAAACGTTAGTAAAACGAGCATTAATCTAATCTAAGGCTGACCGTATCTGAAATGGAATCTTCGTTTGGTATAATTAATATTATGATAAATAACTGGTTACCATCATGGTGGGTGGCAAAACAAATAATTCAATTTTATTATGTCGTAAAACCGTTTAAATACCCTTGACGTTCTAATAGCTTTTAATTGTAATAACAAGCAAGTCCTTGAAATTGAGCCAAACAATGCCAAGGATTTGCTGATTTCGATTTATTTTGTTATGGAATAATATGTTCCATGACGAAATAAAAAACACAAAGAACTAGCTAAATTAACATCTCTACTATAGATTCTTTCTCTTAAAAGGCTATTTTAAAATAAATTGAAAATTCTATTACACGAAAGCAAATATACAGAAAACGTTAATATGTAAGTATAGGTGAAGTACGAGGATATAAGGCACTGTAATTAAGCGACTGATATTTAAATAAATATAAAGTTTCAATGAAAATAGCTGTTACCGTTATTTAAATAATTTACAGCACTGATATTACTTTTACCAAAATTCACAGATAATGTATCTTTTTCGTTGACTTTTCAATTTTAAAGGCACATAATTTATGAAGAACGGTATAATTTCAACTTCAAATTGTATTACAGTAATCATCATTAATTTAACATAAGATCAGTGTACAATTAACAAAACAAGTGAGATTTAAAGACGATCGATGATTGTTTTATATAATTATAAATATTATTTGTTTCATATTTATTTCTCTTTGTTTCAGATCAGCAGTCTTATGAAATCAACGTTAAACCTATAAACTTTTCCTGTGCCATACTTCTCGAAATGTATGTTACTGACAAAGAAATTAAAATGATAGATGACAATTGAACATTAATATTATAATTAAACTCTCAAGAGCATTATAACATAAAATATGGGTCATACGAAAATAGTTCTTCAATAGCCGTGAGCTAGAGGTTCAACCAACGCAGTTTAAATATCAATGCTAAATTATAGACTGGTTTCTACGCATTTCTTGAAGCAACCGTAAATCGTATCGTAAGAAAAACTTTTGTAGACTATAAGTGTCGAATGAGAAATATGTGTCGCGATCGAGATATGCCGGTGCAGAGGAGTGGCATCATCAAATAAAAAACTAACCAATTGGACGCTTCTGTGTGAAATCGTGTGTGCAAAATTTTGTAGGTTTTCGCCAACACCGCGCGATTATGTTACAGCTTTACGTTTTGTTCGACACATGTTTTAAAGGATAAGCAATAATCAGGTTGTTTTGTGATTGGTTGTGGATTAAAGAAGGGGTTTTGGCTACAAGCTTGGGTCCTATTTTCTCTACCCTGGCCAGCCGCAGTCTGGACAACATATCTAGAATATTGGACTCCATTGTAGACGCTGCGCGATACTGTATTGTAAGTCTCACAGTTCTTAGCATCGCTTTTGGAATTTTGTACCTCTAGTGATAGATGCAAGTCACCTTTGGGTCAATAGCATTCTAGATGAGAGCAGGTTGCATCTGTGCCAATCATAATTTAATTTCAGAAACGCATAACGGCCGAAAAGTTTTGGAAATTGGGGGGTTTAGTTACAAGTACTAGACTTAAGTCTGAAGCGAACATGGTACAGTTGGAAGTGACTCAGGTACTTTAAAGCATTAGGCGACGGGGTTAGAATATCATCATAATTATTATGTAGAATTCACAAATTATAACAAAAATTCTATTGGCCTCTTAAGACATTTTACTAGCTTAACATATCTATGATCGCTTTCGCAAATATTTAAGGAAGGGTACTGGAAAAGTTTAAAAAAAGTTTACAAAACGTATCCCTTTATTTTTTTTTATTAGTTTTATTCTCTAAATTACACTATTCATGCAAATTTATTTTTTTCTGTCACGAAATAATATTTACACAGAATACGGAACTGACATCTGACCCAGCTTTTCTAAAAAAATAAAGAACATGATTGTGTTGTAAACGTTCATTCTTGTCACTTTACCAGTTACCCTTTATTCTTTTTATTATTTTCATTCTCTATATAAGATTATATCTCAATTAAATGCAAATCAATTTGTAGATGACGTGTTGATAGCTTTTTTCAAAAACATCAATAGATTGTTAACACTTAGAACTTATTGCTTTTCAGCAAAACATTTTTGAAAATATGTTATTTTTATTACTCAGTATTAACCTGTGTAATTATATGTATATAAAATGTATTAAAGCATATATGTATATACATATTTAATAGATACTTATCACACACAAATTGACACAATTCATCTTGCAAAGACAAAAGCTTACCACTTAGTCCAGGTTCAAAAATGTGAGTCATAACTTGTCTCTTTCCCTTTGATTCTCTTTTTTCATTTCTCACTTTTTCTCCCACTATATTACTCTTTACTTGGAGATTAATTGAGAAGATAAAGATTCTGCTTAAAATTACATTTATAGTGCTTTAATTTAATCAACGTCAAAGTAAATGTAAGCCGCTGCATAAGGTGAGTAATTTATTAAAGGGGCTCATAAAACAAAAGCTGTTCTTTATTTTATATAACAAACTCGTAAATTACTTAATAGTGAATAAGCCGAGCGCTTGTATCTTTGAACCTGCGGCCGTTACGTATGCGACGTAACATTATGACACACACTGACACTAACAGAATTGGCTATGGTTAGGGCTACGGGCACAGCGCCGAGTGCTCGGCCGAGCGGCGGGTAGTAATATCAGGGCTCGGGTGGCGTGCGCAGTGCTGCGAGCTGAGCCGCGACAGCGAGAGGGAGACGGAGAATATGGCCGCGCCCGAGGGCGAGCGAGAGGCGCGCAAGCGTCGCGAGCGCCATGACTCCGGATGCACGCACGAGCGCAAGGAAAGGCGGGCTCTAAGCGAGGAGCGCATGCCGCCGCCTCCGCCTCCGCCGCCTCAACCACCGCGTCTTCCGGATCACAGCCATCTCGAGGTCTATAGATTACTTTAAAACAACATATACTGTAGCTCCTCCAAAGTTTTGTCCAATGACATCCTCGCATTTTGGTTCTTATATTAGCCATCTTGCTCGTGTTACTATCTGTTTAATTGTTACTTATTTATTTTTTGAAGTAAGTAGTTACATTGTTAAGAAATTTTGAGTGATGCAATTTGTATCTTAATAACACTCAACTTTATCCCATCATTTGATATTTGCATTAGATTTTTGTTCTCATAAATCGTTGATTGACAAATCGTTTGCCTTTTTAAAATATAACTTATTAACTTCTGTTAATAATAAGGCATCCTCAATTGCTGTTATTATCGATCACGCATTATTTATGCAAGGAATCCTTAAATTCTCTCCTTTTAAATACAGTTTTGACCACATTGCTCTGCTATAACATATTTCATCAACATGGTCATATTTCATCAAGTACAAGTTTCTTCAAAATAGGTGTTTCAAAGCACCTCGTTGATCGCAATTGAAAATATTAATTATAAATATTACAAATACGTTTATCCTGTGCCATGCAACAGACAAATAATAAATTTCCAATAGGTTGAAAAAAATATGCATCGAACGCTCTACGACCTTAGAACGCTCTGTTTGCCCGCATTGATTTTTGAAAATCGAACGGGATTTCATAAATTCTTCCCCACGTTCAGTCGCAGCGCCGCGCGGAGCGGCTGTCTCGCGCCCGCCGACCTCAGTTCGGCGGCAAGAGGCGCCGCCCTCTCATGAGGGTCTCTGGACCAACCGCGTGGAGCGACAGCGGCGACGAGGGCCGCCCTGGCACGCCGCCCTCGACACACTTCGACTACGTCGTTACGCAGCCAGATGGTAAACGACTTGCGCTTCCAACTGGCGGGAACAACTAACTCTATACTCTCTACGTAACTTTTGTGTCAATGAGATCGTATGCAACAGCTCATATAACATCATTATCAAGCCATTTGAAGTAATAAGTTCTACAACACCCGAGGGCTCACAGATAGATTGACGACCCTCAAAAAACTGGGCCCCAGTTACCCCACCAGCCAGTCGAAACGCGAAAGCTTAATAATTACACTTCACGCCGGTCTTCTGTGAGGCCTAGTAGGTGCGTGGACGAGCCTGCTCATTCATGCAACAGCAGAATCTGTTGCGAAGCGTTACCATAGTTTTAAGTAATATGATAATATTATTAAAATTATTAAAAAAACATAACCCTCACTTTAGGATAACATTATCCTGTGTTGTATGGACTGACAACCAGATATGAAACAAATATCTGTGGGTCACACAAATAGTTGTCCCGTGTGGGAATCGAACCCACGGCACCCGCCGCCGAAGCCAATACCCTGTCAACTGCGCCACGGAGTCAACGATATGAGGGTATTGTCTACGCAGTGAGCCCGGAGGAGGGAGTGGAAGGCAGTCGCCACGAGGAGGCGGAGACCGTGAGGCGCGACGAGAGAAGCGTCGCACCGCGCCGCTCGCAGCCGAGCCCTGATCGGCGACTCGAAAAGATCAACAAAAAGGTCGGCTATACGGCCAATGTTGCCTTTGGTGGTTGAACAACAATCGCCTATTCAACGGGTATCTACCACCTTGAATGTTAGGTTCACTGTTGAACAATACAGCTTTCTTAAAAATTTTACTGTAATTATTTTTTATTAAAAAGCCTTGATGTAATCACTAGTCCACTGCTTTATTGATTACTAGATGCTGCCCGCGGCTACGTTGTATAGAATAGGCTGACGACGTAAGATTCAGATAGAAAAACAGATATACATATACTATGTATATAAATTATAGCCTATGTCTTATTCTGATGTAAAAGCTATATTATTGTAAAGTTTCATTAAAATCCATTCAGTAGTATTTGCCTGAAAGAGTAACAGACATCCATCCATACATACAAACTATCGCGTTTATAATATTAGTAAGGATATAATACGTAAGGTGATTATTCTATTACTTGCATTAAAAGCATATTCCTACTTAATTGTTTCGATCGAGATTTTCAGTTGACAGTTGGCTATATACCAATATGTTTTTTTTTTGCTATTTCACATTTCGAAAACCTGTCAATTTCCTCACGATGTTTTTTGTCTCAGTTAAGAATGTGATAAGATAACACTTTAAATTCCTATTAACAATTTCATTGGTTTCTTCATAGAGATTTGTACTCAGGTTGCTCGAGTATATTAAATTAAAAGCGAAAAGTCGGACGCCAATTATTAGTGGGTTCGCGTGATTGACGTTTGCCCACCAAAAGTCCACCACTTGGCCCTCAGTAGAACATATATGTGTTGCTTTACTTTACTTGACTATATAACCTTCTGACATTGTTACACACAGATCAGCGTCTTGAAGAAGTGTATCGCGAAATACGAAAGTGACTACGAAGCCCAGAACGGTCACGCTATAACCCCAAGTGACCGTATAACGGATGTGCAGCTGACACGAATGCACGAGACCTTGCATCGGCTTCAAGCGGAAAAGCGCTGCATCAAAGCTGATCCCATCGAGTACACGATCAAAATTCGAGTCGCCAAAAACCAGAAGGAGAGGGACGAGTATCTCGAAGAATCGCTCAACAGCGATAAACCGATGGCCGAGATTGTTCGTGATATTGAGGAGGTTATTTTTACACTTGTTCTATACATTTCGTTTGTAAATTTATATAGTAAACTATCCCGGGCAGACGTTGTCCTATACACACGTATAAATTCGAAATTTTAAAACTTTTTGAAATTACTTTGTGAATCTAAACCATTCTTGTATCGACTTGAATACACACAAAAAATTTAATTAAAATCGGTCCAGCTATTTAGGAGGAGTTCAGAGACTTACACACGTACAGATGAATTATATGTATAAAGATAGTCGAGCTTTAATTCAATTGTAGCATCTTTGTAATACTTCTTAAGGCTGTGCACTTTACGATCGAGTCCATACTGCTATGTTTGTTCACAGTGGCTGCAGGGCTCCCGCGAGCTGGACGGCCGCGCTGCGGTGCCGGAGTCTCGCTGGACCGCGGCCCAGCTGGCTGCGGAGAAGCTGTGCGTGCAGCGCGTTCTGCTGCGCTTGGAGGCGTCGCGCGGCCGCCCGCCCGCCCACTCGGCCGACCGCGGCGCCGCACGCCACCTCTACGAGCGCTACCGCGCCGTCAAGCGCGCGCTCGCCGCTTTGCGGAACGACATCGTAAGCTTTTCTGAAATTCGTATGCAGCCCTGCGTTGCGTAGCGCCTCTACGAGAGCTACACAGAGCAACGCGTAGCAGTATAGAGGCCTGGGCCGATTATACAAAATTCTGGTGTGCTTGTGTCTAGCCACCCTGTAGCCTCACCTATTTCAGGGGTTTTGCAAACTTTACATTCCGCTCGAAAGATGATCGCGTAGGGACAGCTCAAGCTTGTGTCGTCTACGATTTATACAACATTACGTATCGACGTAGTAAATTGATTGCATGTATGCAATAAAATTGTTTTGATTAATATCTATTGACGCCGTGGACTTTGCTGCTTATACAATTTAATAAATAGGAATATTGATTGCTTAGTTTAAAATTAAATTATATTTCAGATAATCGGCCCGAATGGGGAGCTGGCGACAATCCACGAGCACGAAACCATTGTGTTTAACAGCAGCATTGATAGCTCCAGCGATTCACAAGAAAAACGTTCTGATTCATCGCAGGTGAAAAAAAAGAACATTTTAATTTTTTCTTCTATGTTCTCGTATATGTAATAAAAACTTTTTCCATAGATCAATGTAAATAAGTAAGTTTTCTGTTAAACGACGAGGAATTCCTATCTTGCGCCATATTTAAACGATATAATTTGCCTTTTTCATATTTGTCGTGGACTTAAAAACCATGACTTTTTATATTTTTAAATAATGATGGAGATGAAGCTTATGTGTGTGTAACTGAATATTACTAAAATGGATCAGCCCTCTGCCGTCAAATTTCAACAAAAAACGCCATCAACTCAACCCAGTGAATGAATCTATATTAGTAAATTATCTAATGCTTAATGATTATAAAGAATCGAAAATCGAGTCATTAGTCCTTCCATCGGGCAACAATATAGCGTGTCATTACTAAGAGAGGGCAGAGTAAAAGGTAAATTCAACCGACAAGCATACATGCGTAGATTTATAGAAGTATATGAGCAACGATCGTGGTTGACATACATACTCTCTAATAGAGATAATGGATGAAGATGTCTATCTCTACCTACACCTTGAAGTTTACAAGTAACCTTGAAATGCACAATTGTTTATGGACGTACGCATGCCTGTATTTTCATTCGTGAAGCACGACCCAATTGGTGTATTGTATAATGATCCTTACGCCAGAAGATGTTTGTATTTATTTACAAAAGAAAAATACGTTTAAGTATCATTTAGTACCCATAGCACAAGCTTTTCTTAATTTGTAACTAGATAACCTTTCTTTTAAGTTAAAAATAATATGTCCCAAAATATTTATTCCTTTTATTATTTTCATCGGTAGAACTGGTATATCTAAGCGTACGCCTGACCATATCGGTCCTGTTGCGAATTCCGTCACACCGCCGACGCTAAATTCCATATTACATTTGGAGAATTCAAGAAATGATCTCGAAATTTTTAAAGAGGCTCCTACTCGGCGCTTGGCTTATGTCGTCGGGTAGGACATTCCATAGCGGTATACAGATTGACTGTGTTAGAGCAACTGAAGAACCTAGGCTAATCTAGCTGTTATCGACAGGAGGCCGCCGGCACTGGCTCCGGCCGCGAGCCCGCCGAGGAGATACCATCGTCCACTTCGTCCGCGCAGTCCGCCAGCGAGGAGCGCTCGCCCGCCAACGAGAGCCTGCACAACCTCAGCCTCGAGGAGCTCTCGCGCGCCCTCACCGAGGCCAAGCTGCACAAGTGTGTACGTACTCGTCGCGCTTCTCCAGGGCCAGCCCTACCACATCAGTGCCTTTAAGAGGAACTCCCGCTTTCCCAGTGCTAGCCCTACCACATCAGTTTCTTTTAGAGGAACTCCCTCTTTCCCAGGGCCAACTCTACCATATCTGTGCCTTTTGATGAATTCCCGCTTTCCCAGGGCCAGCTCTACCACATCCATGCCTTTTTGAGGAACTCCCGCTTTTTTAGTATCAGCTCTGCCATATCTGTGCCTTTTGAGGAACTCCCGCTTTTCCAGCGCCAACTTTGCCATATCTGTCATTGTTTTTGTACGAAGTTATACTTCTTTTGATGCGTTTGACGTTCACACTTTTATGACGTACTACACCTAAATACGACTAACTTACCAAACGTATAGATTTTTCCATTTCATTATTTTTTTTAAAAATCGTCATAATGCTTTAACATTATCCTGCATTGATTAAAAGAAATATTTCGAAGATAATCGAAGTCTGTATATCCGCAGTGGATCCCGTAGTGAACTATATACTTACTTGTATACCAACTGTAAAGGAGGAGGCTTTTACTTGCAGTGGGATAATATAGATTTCACATTTTCACTATATTTACTTTACATTTGAAGCATTTCTATACACTTTCATTATTTCAGTTGTCATGGTGAAGGACGACATTGCTGAAAGGACGTTACGTTATTACACTTATGGGTTTGAGTCACCAACTAACTAATGTTGATAGTAAATCTGTTGGATTATTATTGGTATGACGTGTTGCGCACGCAAACAGTGAAAACAACGTTCAAAATTAAGTTAATTGAAAGTGAATCAAGTGTCTTAATTATAAGTGTACATTAACCTTAATTTATAACTTCATTAACAATAGTATAAATATAGCACGTGTTACTTAACGTGATTGACGACTTGAATTGCGTGTGGGTCGTGTACCTACCTCCAGCGCCAGAGGGTGTGGGTTCGATCTCCACTATTAAAAAATATCGTGTGATCATAGTTTTTCTAGTGTCTTGGTTTTTATATATTTAGGCATAATATATATTTATTTAAAAAAAAAAGACTGTTTATCAGACATCTAGTACCCAAAGTACAAGCGATGCTTAGTTTCGGACTAGAGAACATTCTGTAAAAATGTGTCCCAAAATATTAATTAATTTATTTGTTATTATTTATTTATTTAATATGCTTGCTCATGAACTGACTAATATATTATTTTCATCAACTCGTTTCAGGTGATCCGCCGCAACATCAGAGATTACGAGGTGAACTTCGAGTTGCTTAACGGTAGGAAGGTGCAGAAGGACGACAAGAAGGGTAACGAGGAGGAATATCGCCGTTACAAAACGATCAAGGCCAGGATTAAGTTGCTGAACGCACTCATCAACAAGCAGAAAGCGAAGTTCTTGTTCAGAAATTGAAAAGCGGACCGGGGGGATTAAATTCTGCATTTATCAAAATTGTATATTGTGCCGAATTTAAACGATATTGTATACAATTTTCGATGCGCCGTTTCAAACTTATTATAGGCGCTTTCTTTGCACTTGTTCTGTACTATCGTATGAATCGTAAGTATTGAAAGGAGTTTAGATGTTAGGTTATATTCACATTCGCTTTGTATCTGTTTATTGAATAAAATTATTGAGGACCGATGGGTAGAGCACATTATAATGGAACATACGACACAACCAATGCGTCTAACTTCTTCGCCATATCGTATTACGTACTGCTCAGTCAAAAACATCTCTACTTTAACAGAACATATGCATTAGTAGCTGTATTAATTAATAAGTTAATTAGAAACTGTCCTCATATAGGGTATTGTAATAAAAAATCATCTCTTCATTAAGGTACAGCTTACATTTAGCAAACATTTAAAATTGCGTAGTATATCTCAGTATTCTTATTCATATCACATCTTACATTAAACTTAATACATAACTACTTGTTTAATTGGTTAATGGATCCATCTCAAACATCGCTATATATAAATACATGTATTTTTAATCTTTGTCTTACATAATGCAAAACATTTAATACAATACGTTTTTCACATTACTGACCTGCCGATTTCAAAATCATGAAATCTATAAAAATACGTTACATTTTTATAAATGTATAACATTCATGAATAATCATATAATATCCATTTAACTCTATCGAATAGTGTTTGTATTCTAGATTAGGCATTATTGCAATGATTGCTTGTTTTGTCAAGCCATTCTAAAAAGGGGCGTTATTGCCACAGAAAATATTTAATCTTTGGAGCGATGAGTAGAAATAGGTACATAATTATTTGTATTATTGCAGAAATGTACCTAATAATTCAAATTAAGGTGTGTGACAGAATTTTTGAATAAAGGCAATAATTGATGTTCGTACAGCAGTACCTTACGCAATTCTAATGTTTAATTATTGATATAAATAATAGAAGTAGTATATCTATCTTCAATCTCTTTAACGGCCATCGGATTCGTATCAAATTTATTCACAAACGATTTAATCACTGCAATGCGATATATAATGGCAAAACATTCTGCCAACATATCATAGTGGATGAATACGATGGTAAATTTTCTTAAGATAGACTTCCAAATCTTCTTGTTCGAAGTCTATTACAACACTTCATGCTCGTACTGACTTTGTCAGAATAGCAGAAAGGTTTTTCTATATGAGGAAGAAAAAATAACTTAGTTATATAGTGATATACATTTATATTATTATTATACATTACCAATCTAGTCTCGATTAGAGTTAGCTCTTAGAATTACTTATAAATGCTAAAACTCATTAATTAATCCTGATAATGATGAAAAGAAAAATGAAACTCACGTAGGCGGTGCTGAAACCAAAACGAGCACATTTGAATTTTGAAGACTACCACCATTTAGATACGGAGAAGTTTGATGAAACAAAACAGTGTTAGAGTGACTGTATTAAGACGAGTAAATATCTTCTTCGATATTGTATATCATTATTAAAAACCTAATGAGATTAAATATCCACATAATAATTTGTGGTTTTCTTCTGTCTTTAGAAACAAATGCTTAATAGTTTTGTATTAGTGTCTAACGCTACTTTCTTAATGTTAGACTTTAAAAATTTAATGTAATTCATATAATAGCTAAATTAAGATGGAATCTCTGAATTTGGCTATTGAATGATAAATTCTAAAAAAGTTCTACGAACAGTAGATCTGAGTTGCGTATGCTTTTATTAAAATTAAAATTTCATTGAAATTAAAACTTGTTACCCAAGCACGTAAGTAGTATATAAATTTGCGTACTCGGTTATAAGTACGCAACGCAATATAAGAAATGATCGCGAAGCAACCTGCATATCGGAGAGATGTTAAAAAAATATATCTAGATGCGATAAACCAGCCAGCATCGTGATGGACAATACCGCATTGTCCTCACAGAGATGGCTTTTGTCCTGCAGTGGGATATAATATATTTTACGCTCTTCTACTTTCGGTGTACGCAAGAAAAAATAAAACATCACTTTGCTTAGTATTTAGGGCGAGTAATCCAAACCCTGTGATAAGTGAAATTAAAGATTGACCTAAAATCTTATTTAAATGTAAGCGACCTCAAAGGGCTTCAATTATAATTAGTATTATCTCCTGCCTAAGCGATACGTAGAAGCAAGGAATTAATTTCAGTAATGTCTTTTGTTTGTAAAGACGTAAAAATAAATTCAATAGAGACACCCCAGGATTAAAAAAAATGAATGCATTTCTAAAGTTAATGAGCTAATATGTGTTAGTTTATTTAAGCAATTAGTATTTGATGTTTAAGTACTAACATTTTTTTGCAACACTTCTATGATTTAATTGATCATTTAAGTAATCTATTATTACTGAATTTACAATGATATTTCAAATGAAAATTTTACTAAAATCAAAATTGACTCAACAATAAATTGACATGACGCATTCTAAATCTAATGTATCCGTAAATTTAAGGACGAACGGAATACATCTCTACAGTCTTGTTTTACATTTATTGTATTTCACATATTTCTTCTTAGAGAGGAAACGGAATAAATTCTGATTTTTTAATGTTTAGAGATAAGTACTTACCTGTGATTTTATTATTATATTTATCTTGTGTGACAAGATTTGACGCTTAATTTATTGCAGCAGTATTCTTTATGTTATGTTTAACAGATTTTTGATTTGTCACGTATATATTAACGCCAAAGGCATTAACTTAATTTGTTTGCTTCTAAGTGTCTAATAAAATGAGCATTATTCTCTCTAAAAATCCGAAATGAATTGTTGAAATTGTAGTACCCACAAAGGAAGAACATATATTTCAGCCAGGCTTTGAATCGGTGAAAATTAATGATTTATAAAACCTTCTTGATCATAGATATTGTTCTATCGCCGCCAATATTTCCATTTCCAACCAGTCGAAATGTTTCGCCTAACTTGATGTTTAAACATATTTAAAATCAACTTGTACTTAAGGAATATTAATTATGCATGAATATGACGTGTAAAACGTATAGCGTTCTATAAAATATCTTGTAATTCATAAATTGAGATTAAAATAAACACATTAAACAAACGAAGTGTCTTTTTAATGTTTAGAAATTAGTAGTTTATAATTTATAACCCTGTTTGATGAAACATATTTTCACATTGTTTTCTTTAAACTAGTAACAACACCACATAACAATAAAAATTGACTACAACAGTTGTTTTATTTTTGCCTTGAGGATAAATATGCAATGGATATTTCCTTTGGGCAAGGAACAATAGCACATGAAAAATCACATGACAAATGGCTTAGGAAAAAATAACTCTGCCACGCGCAATCAGTGGCAAACTATGGCATAGGCGCTCCCATTGCATCATAAAAGCTTATTTTCACCTGTCACTTTGTGTTCGTACTTAAAACAATGCGAGCACTGTATAATTCAATTTTTTAATTATAATAAGCTATAATTAAAGAAGTGTTTTTATATTTTATTTAATAAATCACATGGCGGAATTTGTTAAAATTGTCAAATAAAAAAGATAACTAACATAAAATATAATATATAACACTAATTCGTAATGTTAGGTAATAATAAGTTTCTTACTGTTTAAAAATGATGCAATGACAGAGAATATGCCTTACAATTTTTTACAAGCAATTATTCGCTCCACGTTTATGTAATAAGTGCTAAAGACACGTAATTTACTATAGAATTGTATTGTAAATGTTGATTTTTACTTTATAAAAGAAGTTATTTTGTACTGTGTGTACTGTTTGTACACTAAATAATTCAAATAGAATGCACACATGACTAGTGAAAATAACTTAAACGTTTCAGAAATGTAGATTAGTTGAATCGATTTTCTTAATCTGTTCGTGCGTCATCTAGGAGGTTATCTTGTAAGCGGTAAACACGTTCAATAGTCAACAAATATAACACGACAAAGGGGATAATAAAGAGGGATCTAATCGTTTATTAAATAAAAATATCATGGACATGCGCTTTCAACATGATATGTCTCGTCACAGTGTTTAGAACGCATTATTTCAATTAACGTGAATAAGTAGATCTATAGCGGTTTGATTACTTGCAGTTAGCCGTGGGGGTGCGGTGGCGTCGACCGTTCATACTTCTCCTCCAGCGTTTCCGACGGCAGTAGAGCGACCACGAAGCGGAGCTCCTTATCAAACAGATACATCAGGTCGTTCTTGAGCGCCTGCCTTGGATTTTTGGCCGTGAACTCCGTGGCGTCTGTCACGTCCAAAGCCTCCCGGCTAAACATCTCTTCTTCGATCGACTTGTCCCTGCGCTCTTCACTCAAACCTTTGGTTTCGGCTCGCACTATACTGACCACCAACAACACAACCACTACCCTCGCAATGCGGACGCCGCGCGGTCCACTTTTTAAATTGTTCATTTTTTTTTTAATTATCTCGCACGCAATTAGCGTAGTGCGTCGCTTGCAATTACAGATTCATTTGCTTTCAATTATTATCTGTGAATAGATGTCTACAAAACATGTAACAAGACTCGATACAAAGATTTGTGGCCCGTTCTGTTATCAATCCCTCCATTCGTGCCAAGAAGTACGCAGTTGGATATACGAGTAAATTGAACTGTCGTATTATGACTGGGAGATAAGATTCGACATTACACACGCTCACACGGACACGGTTTTACGTTAATGACCGTAATTGTTCAGTTTTACCAGCTCATATACTATAATATAGAAGGAAAACTTTATCGTGTAAATTAGGTATAGCTAGTTAAAATTATTAATACTCATTATACATTCATTTTATGTATTGGAGATATAGAATAATTTGTCATATAATTACAGCAAAATTTAGTAATAATAAATTAACCTTATCTGGAGAAATTCACATGGAGTCGGTAGCATCGGGGGAATTAGAAACAGTTTTCTTTAGGAGGATAACTACAAAAAAATTCACGGTAACTGCCATCTGCAACTATAAGACCAACAGGATTCAATCGTTAACTAACAACAGATTATGAACAACAGATACATATAATTTCCATTGAGCTTGACTTGTTGTAGCATTATGATGCTTTTAACGATTTTTTTTTCAAAGAATGAGGACGTCATCTTTAAGTTGGTACTAGAATATTTTTTGGATTCACAAAGCCGCTTACAAGATTTAATTTAAATAACACGTATAATATTGATCTCCCGATGCTTCGAAAATTTTCAGTATTTATCGTAAGGGGCTAGAAGTTCCGAACTTAATTTTAACCAGAGCTTCAGGCAGTTTTAAGGTTATTAATTATAGTCACAAGAATTCAATAAGCACTTTCTATACTCCTCTTCTAAATCAAAAAATCTTGCAATTTTTAACGTCTGCTTAGCTGACGATACCGCTAAAAAAATCGTCGGTATGGCGTTTATATTTCTAAAGCTTGCAATTCGTTCTTAACAAGAGTAGGTGGTAGGGCCACGCAGCAGCGTTGGTTGTTGCACGAATGGGCAGGCTCGTCGGGGTAAGTACCACGACCTCACAGAAGACCAGCGTAAAATGGAAGTATAATACGTTCGCGTTTCGTCTGGTGAGTATGGAGGCCGGAGTCTAATTTTCAAAAGGTTTTCAACGCAACTGGAACCCTCGGGTGTAGCAGATGTCCATGGGCCGTGCTATTCACTTAACATCAGGTAAACCGTCTGCTCGCTTGGTAACTTTTCACATAAAAAAAAATTTCTGGTCACTTTATACTAATAAGACTTCATTGATACTGTTGCACAATTTGAAGAGCTCGTCCGAGGAAGTGACACGCTGTCACTGCTCCACATCTGCTGAGCGAAATAGTATAAAGGTCAAGGAATAAAGACTGTCAACGGCTGGTGATGCATCAGCAAACACACGGGTGTTGTTAGTGTCCTGGGTACCTAATGAGTATTTTTTACCATCAGGTGAACCGTTTGCTCACTTGTCACCTATTCGCAAAGTTATAGTATGCAATTACAAAATTAAAATGCTAATTCGTGATTTTTTTAAATTTTAAGACCTGTGCTAGCAAAATGATTAAAGTGAGATCATAGCATAACAAATATTTTTACAGTTTGTTCAAATCTTGAATTCATAGTGAAGTTAGAAAAGTGCAAAGTACAAAACGTTACCGTCCGAGTTGAACGTTTGTTTAAGATTCGCCTTCATTATAATTACGGCGAGTTCAGACACGGCCATAGATAATGAGTTAAATTATTATGTTGAAAAGTTAACGAAGTGAACCTACTCTTTTTGTTACTAACCAAATACTCTTTTGTTTGACGCTTATTTAAAACTATGAAAATTAACTTGAAACAATATTTTTATTAAGAATAATTACGGTAAATGAATGTAAGCATAATTTGCCAGTAATTAGTCTATTAGAGTATTATTGTTTGTGCTAAGTAACACGCATTTGTACGGATTTTTATAATTCAGACCTATGTTTAAACTAATAAAAATATTAAAATATCCGATATAATTTAAAAGTATCACAAAATCATTCACGCGTAAATATAATTTTTATTTTCCACTATACTTTTCATAAATTATTTTCTTTTTCATATTTTTTTACTAAACCTAATAATAAATAGGGATAAATTGTATTAACCTAACTGAGAAAACTGATAAATAATAGGAGCTAGAAATTAAATAAAAAAATTAAGAATGTAATCTAAATATTTCGCAAGATTGATCATCTTGAAATCCTATTTTTAAAAACTGTATATACTGACTGGACGGACGGACGGACGCCGTCCGTCCGTACTTAACCAGGCTGTATCTCATGAGCCGTGATAGTTAGACAGTTGAAATTTTCAAAGATGATGTATTTCTGTTGACGCTATAACAACAAATACTAAAAAGCAGAATAAAAAAAAATACTTAAGTGAGGCTCCCATACAACTGACATTATTTTTTTCCGTTTTTATAGATAATGCTACGGAACCCTTCGTGCGCGAGTCCGACTCGCACTTAGCCCGTTTTTTTAGTACCCATCACTTCTATACGGAATGTAATATAATAAGGAACATTTTTATATTATAAATAAAAATATAAAAAAAAAGCACAATTATCAATAGCGTTTGCATGGTAACAGTCAAATACAACAAAAAACTTCACGGTAACCGCCATCTGCAATGATAGGATTTACAGGATTCCATCGTGAACACGTAACAACATAATATGTTGAAACTAGCATTTCTACTAAATCTAGTAGTAACTCCCATTGAGTTTAAGTTCTTGTAATATTACGTTTTTAACGAAACTTCTTTCGAAAAGGATGAGGACATGACTGTAAAAGATCTATCCATAAATTGGTACTAAAAGATTTTTTGGATTCATAAAAATGCTTTAAAAATTTAGAAATAGGGATAATTAAATTGTATATGCCTAATTCACTAAAATTGATAAATTATGACGAATAAGAATAAAAAAAACAATATAGGATTCTAACATATTCCGCCATATTGATCATAAACAACTCATTTAAAAAAGACGAAATGCTATTTAAAAAAAACTCTAAAGTTTAGACAGTTTTTTTAATACCCATCGCTTCTATATAAGGAAAAGCACAATGATCAATAGCGTTTGCATGGTAACAAATACGTCAGCGTTTCGATGTATTAATTTATGATTTGTAATTATTTATTAGTAACTGCATACACATTCAGCGGATTGTGCGTTGGTAAATTTGGCCAGGGCAAGATACGGTTTATTGAAAGATACTGCAACTTTTATGTAGATATTCACGAAATTTAAACACAACTTTCAAAATGAAGACAGACCTTAAGTCAGAAAATCCGTGATTCTTTCCTTTAAAATAGAAAGAAATTAAATAGAAATTACAAATTATAACCACTGTTATGAGTTATGATTATGTTGAATTCCTCCGTTTGAAATGATGGTATAAATGAAGGTTTGTTCAATTGATCGCTTGTAAAACTATCGATTTAAATTTTGTTTCAACATGTTTCCTATAAATATATTGAAATGGCCCATTGAAAATTGTCATTCTACAGTAATCCTAATCATATAAATATATAGAACGGTATTACTTATTTGGCAATAAAAAAATGTAAATTTGTTTATGTTTTGATAAAGATACTTTAAACACAGTTCACCTTTACTCTTATCGGCTTTTCAACTCTAATAGACCTAGACCTAGCTACATTTTTTTTACGTGAATAGTTGGCAAGCGAGCAGGTGTTTCATCGACTTCTACAACACCTGACGGGTATCAAAATAGTTGTCAATATAGGCCCCGGTTACCTCACCCAGCAGACGAAACGCGAAAGCAAATATTTCTACTCCACGTCTTCTGTGAGGTCGCGATACTTACCCGCACTAGCCTGCCCATTCTTGCAACAGCTGCGTACCATACCACAGCTCGCAAAGTATAAAACCTATGCGTTCTGTGCTATAATTTTACCCCGCGGTAAATACTTGCCCGATATTTAATGTGTGCATCGAATTAGAAAATGTGTTATGTGCATGTAGTGTTCCGTCGATGAGTATTCGGAATTTTATAAGGACTCGATGAGCGGCGGTGATAACCCCCGCTATCGAGTGACAGAACGCTCGGGTCAAACGAGCGTAAACGCAACGTGCGGTCGTTAAGCTGTCGATGTCGCCGCTTTCAGTGGCCTATTCTGGAACCCCAATTTCCTTCTAATTTCGAATTCACTGGTTGCCATGTCGCCATGGTTTTAATCGTGAAACATGTAACCTTACTTAAACTTACAAATTTGGATAGTCAATCGGAAATAAGTAGTTCAAAAATTATGAAATCTAAAGCAATAAAAAATATTTTATTGTGTGTATTCAAAACAGTCAAAAGTAAACCCATACTAAAAACGCGGATCGGATTTTAAAGAGAATTTTTCCATGGTTTTTCTTATTTTTTACAAAGACATACGTACATAAACACGGATTTATAAATTAGATTGCGCTTTTGCTGATTCCTAGACATTCTTCCCTCTGAAGTATCAATCTTCGTTTCATGAAAACTAAATAATCATGTCAAAGTCAAAGTCAATATCTTCATTCAATATAGAAGCATTACGCTTACTTGTTTATTGTCAAAAAACTCGTCTACCGGTTCGGAAAGAAAGCCACTAACCTGAGAAGAACCAGCGAAAAAAACATGTTAATATTGTCTATTTAGTTTTTACTATACTAAACTTTATTAAGCTGTCTTTGTTTTCTCAGTCTTTGTTATCGCCTTTTATATAGCTTAGATATGTTTTGTTTTTAAATTATATAAACATCTAAAAGCTTCACAAGAGGATAATGTATTTTATTCGCTATTTTGTATTCTGTCCGACGTGTATTTTATTATTGATTTGTACCTAATATATCGTTTTCAATGAAGCAATGTAAATAGGTAGGTACTATTGAATAGAAGACGTCATTCGATGGAGGGTTAGTAATGGTGTGGGCTGGAATATCTTTAGAGAGCCGTTCAGAGTCAGTGGTAACAGAAAACAGTCTCTGACAAGTCACGGAAACGCAGCGAGGATTTTAATTGAATACTGGTAATTTATTAGTGCATATTGGCGCAATATCCGTTGTTCCACGCCTACTTGGTCAATTTTAGACATTATTAAAAATTGGGTTTACAACACGCCACATTGCTTTAATGAACTTATACGGACATTTACAGTGTTATAAAAACAAAAAAAAAACTCCTTTATTTTTTTTTATTAAATTTAATAGTGTGCATAACGTTTAAATATTTTCATTAAATCATTATAAACAGGAAATACCTATAGCGTTCTAGTTTGCACGAATCAATTTTGGACATCATTCTCTGTACAGGCTAGAAGGCAGTGTGAAAACTACAGCAAGTGTGCAAATTATCATCATAACAAAATATAATACAGCGTTAGTGAATTTAGCCCCACAAATGTGGGTCACGCTAAGTTATTGCATGTTTAAAGTGGGTCCTGTACAATTTTAGCTAAGCAATAACGAGAAATTTTGTCCCTTAAGAGATACAAATAGGTTTAAAGAAACTACCAATAAGTATCACATACCATACGTTCGAAACTAGATATTTTCTATACCTTTGACAGAGTATAATTTATTAAATATGGTTAATTATATATACGATTTGGTTTTATTAATTTCCACGATTTTTGTTCTTACGGAGTAAACACAACTTATAACCGATTTATTCTATGCACTTACAATAACAGAGTGGGATTAAGTTTATTTATAAAGTATTTTTGTGTTATAAAAGGTTTCATCGTAAAGTGTAATGCATAGATTGTTTTGTACATGACATTTATAAAAACTTGTAGCTGTTACAGATCAATAAGGCGACGTGTATATCCACTTTACCTATAAAAATAAACATTTATATAACTATCGACGTATTACACAAATGTAGAGTGACTTCTCTTAAACATCAAGGGATTTAAGAAAGCTGTTGTTATTGCCTGTCATAATGATATTGAGTTTAGAATTGAACTGTCACATTTTTTATTAATTTGATAAAATCAAAGTGTTAAAAACAGAAAAAAATTTTTTTTAAATACTTTTGTAATGATTCCAATTCTTTCAAGTGTTAAATTGTCTGTCAATTAATCTTTTACTAGTGCCCCACCCCAGCTTCAAGCGGGTGTTATGTATTATACATACAAAACCCTCCTCTTTTATCACTCTATCTAGTAAAAAAACCGCATTAAGATCCGTTGCGTACTTTTAAAGAACTATGCCTACATAGGGACAGACATACAGCGGGACGACTTTATTTTATACTATATTATGATAATGACATAATTCTATGATTTTATATATGTAAGCTCTGTAATAATAACTTACAAATTAGTTACAATGTGTCCATGTAGTATTTCAAATATTTCTTCTGAAAATAATATTAAGGTAAGGTTCGTTTATTGTAGAATTATTATACACTATTCAAGGCCAACATATACGGCTATCACTGCTTACATACAAACATCAATCTAATTAACTTTTAGGTAGCCTTATCTCATAAAAGGAAACCTTAAAAAATTTTGTCAGTCGTACACGTGCAGCATTGTCTAGTTTTAATGTATATTTTAGGTCTAAATCTAGGCTCAATTGACTGTGTCCTTCCGAATATAACTAAATTTATGTTATATATATATTAATTATATAACAATAATAACAATTAAGTTGTTGTAGTATTTCAACTAAATCAAATAAAAATACTTACTGTCAATACCGACCCGAAATTTATATACACACGCGCGTGTAAATTGTATAACCTCAGTCAATCAGTTTATTAAAGCATATAGGACAATTGATACATTTAAACTCTCATTTGCATGACAAAGAGTTTAAGCCACCAAATCATTTTATACCACGTGGGATAGTAACAATTTGGATGATATGATCGCGTGAAAGAAATGGAATGCATTTGCTTTCAAAGCTAAATATATTTAGTGTCTATTTCGAATTTTATGTTTCTTTTCTATTTTGATTGAGAGACCACTGACAAACCGTGCGATATTCTTATCGAGTGCCATCATAATAAGTTCATTTTTATGAGTCAAACAAGCATTCTTATATATAGTGACCCGATACAATTAGTGGATCAGTTGAGAGACGACTACATAGCGAAGAACACGCGGAAAACATGATTTGGAAAATTGTTTTCATCGCCTTTATGGCTGTTGGTGAGTATATAAACTTATAAGATTTTGGCCTTTAAAAACAAATTTTGTTTTTCATATGTATTATTTACATTTTTTGTTACGATTAATAACAATACATTTTAAACGTACTTCGTACACTGTCATAATGTCCATATCTTCCCGCTTCGTATTTACATTACAAATGTCTTTATTATTTACGTCTCTTGGAAATGTAACTTATTTTTTATATTTAAGTTTATGATAAATCGGTTAACTTTTTTAATTCGTATTTTCCGCCAGGAGCGAGAAAGATTTTATTTTTGCTTTTTGCTCATTGCTATCGGTATAATAGGTAAGCAATATCGATATATAAATGACAAAAACAGCAATAACCCTCCAATCTAAAACAATCTTGTGAAACCTTATAAGTCACTCACTTGCCTATTTTGCACTTGATTAATTCTTTGCTAGACCATCACGTCATACATTCCTTGTAGAGGAATGTTTTATTCCGACTTATCGTGATCCACTACGTTCTTCGTCTTGCAAATAAATTTAATCAAGATTACAGGCTTATTTTAAATGTATAAATTTTGTTGTTTATTTTTTATAAAAAAATATTATAAACGATGCGACGTCCAAGAAAAGTAAAGATGCGAGCAGTTGGAAAACAATCAGTTTCGACTAATGCAGTGGTCAGTAAGGTTATATTATTATGGTGCAGCTTTTGTCACTCCAATTAACGATACTTTTATATGTATATATACAGAAAGATTAAAATAAATCCAACTGAGATAGAATTGTTATTTAAACACGCTTGACAATGAACATACAGACAGTGTCAAGTTCGATGTCAAGTTAGACGGCTTAATTTTCATTGAATGTAACTTGATCTTAACCTAAAAGATTATCTTGGAGCCAGATAGGTGTTCAGCATAGTTCAGATATGTATTTCGTTTATGTACTTTGCTATATATGCAAACAAGAATTGTTGTAGAAAAAGCGCTGCTTGTTAAACACCCACTTAGGAATTATTTGTAATACTCAGATCAATATTTTTTTAACCTTACTGTAACTTACCATTTTCATTTTGTATTAATTATTTGTATTATGTAAATTATTGTTGTATTTTTCGTATAGAAAACAATAGTTTTAATGATGTAGTATGGTTCATATTAAAATAGCTTTTATACTCCAAAATTCGACTAGTTAAAAATGAATTAGATACAAATCGGAGCGTACTTTTTAAAGATGTACGTAAACTCATCCCAAATTTCTTTTAGTTTCATTTTTAGTTTTTATGTGTAGTAGTTAATTACGATTATGTTTCATTCATAATATAGAATTTCAATTGTTAATGACCTCATGTTATTCTCACAAATTAGTTAATTTCACGAACTTGTTGGTAAAAATAAGTAAAAGCCCATACAAGGGCGTCGTCTCTTCCAATTGGACTTCAAACCTCATTGCAGTCTACATGCAAATCTAGCCCATATTCCCGTTAAAGTAAAGAGCTTTATCCTTAAATCGTCACTGTCCGACCATCGGTTGCATGCGGCTGGGCACTAAACTCCTCGGATCCCCACATCCTGCGCTGCAGATCGGGCGATTTACCAATTTACGTCGTCTAAGCGACACGAACGTTAATACGCCTCAATGCGGCTTCAGCGGTTGTGTCAATCATATTTTCGCTGGCCGTTTACGAAATCGGTGAATTACAGACTGTAACACTAAGTGAATATCTTTACAAGTTACTGTATGGCTATTGTTTATATTGTAATCATATGTCAGGGTTTCGCTTGTACAGAACTCTTTTTAGGATCGGGCTCATCTTTGTATGTTTATTTTAAATTTTAACTTTGGTTTTGATTTTATTTTGTGTACAATAATAAATAATTAAAACTCTGAATTTTTTATGTTCAGTAAACAAACGAGGAAGCGTGAACCAGTTTTAGGTTTTTAGCGCCGCCCATATATATCTAAAATGCCTTATGGGTTGGCAATGCGTTGCCAAAATTACAAAGTGTGCCTCGGCTACCTTACTTAAACACACGAAACGCGAAAGAATAACGAACAGAATTAACTGCTATTAACTTAATAAAGTATTAAAACCGGCCAAGCGTGAGTCGGACTCAGGTCGCATGAATGGTTCCGTATCATTTATCTATAAAAACTGAAAAAATATTGTCTATTGCATGGGGGCCCCACTAAAATACTCTTGTCTGTCTTTTAGTATTTGCTGTTATAACGACAATAGAAATACATCAACTGTCTAACTATCACGGTTCATAAGATAGTGTCTGGTGACGGACGGACAGACAGATAGACAGACGGACAGACATCGGAGTCTTAGTAAGAGGGTCCAATTTTACCCTTTAGGTACGGAACCGTAAAAATGATTTTTAAAAAATTCCATTGAATATGTTACCACACCTTCCAATCCCTAGCGCAATCATTAAGAATTCCGTTAATAATGCCAATAAGTTTTTTATAATCTAAATTTAAATTTTATTTAGAAGTTTTCTATTACTTACACAAATACTACAGACTATTAAGGGAGACTGTTTTAATGCACTTCATCGCGTTTATTTGAAAAGTAAATAACGGAATTTTCGTATAGGCACATTTACGGTCGCGGGTGAAATTTGTTTAAGTATATTTTGGAAGCATATGCTTCATATGTCATTCACATTGTAAAACATCACGCAGATGTTTGCTAGATTTAAGATTACTGTTCAATAGTGGTCCGGAATGCAACTGTTGTATAATAGGAAGTGCCATGGAATTTCTTTATCTCTAGCATAAGAATAACAACATAATGATGAAAACTCATTTAGCTGTGCCAATATTGACTGATGGTTTCATATTAAATGTGCACCTAGTCCTCTACGAAATCTTTAAGTAATATTTCGCTTTCGATAACTTATTATTTACTTTTGTAAACGAAAACATTAACATAAACATAATAGTAGTTTATCATTAAGATATTATGATATTATATCATATCTCGAATATCTACGACGTAAACTCTCCCAGCATTATAAAACAATGGCTAACACCACGAAATAATTAAGCATGTAAAATTGTAAGAAATGAAAATGATAGCTTTATAAAAGCAAATGACATTTGTTTAGATTAGATACGGGGTTGAACGAGCAGAGGTTACTTGAGGCTAGAGATAAAATTTTATTGAAAATAAATATTTAATGTTGCAATTGTATACTTAGCGTCTTCGTATCATTAATTATATTTAGATACATTATTACAAGAGATTTCGTTTTATTTCTGATTTGTTTAACATTTATTTTAGTAGCATTTTAAAGATTAAGTAATTGTGGATAGGATAGTAGAAATTTTACTGTAATTTCTATTGATTCAAAATTATTTCTTCTACTTTATTTAAAAAAAAAATAAGGAAGTTATGTAAAGTAATAACGCTTGTCATCCAAAGCTGTGTTGACATCATACGAAGTGAAGATATCAACAAAACTATCATAGATGCCAAAACAATAATTGAGGAAGTTTACGATTTTGTCTTTTCTATTTCAGGTGTGTTGGCAGAATACCATGTGAGTGATGATCAGCGCCAACAGATCAAAGATATGATCAAAGAGCAATGCAAGAAAAACGGTGCCGAAGACAAAGCTGATGACGTAGAGGTAACTGACAGTATAATACAAAATTTTGGTCGGGATATTAAAAATTACAAAACCATGTAACCATATACCAAAAATACAAAACCTATTTTATTTGTTTATTTTTATTGCATTTAAAGCTGCTTTTAATGCAGTAATAAGAGCCGTGATAGCTCAGTGTCCGGGCACTCGCCTTGAATTCAATATACTCGAGCAACCAAAATATATTTATTAACGCTACTATAACCATTGATCATATATCAATTAAAAAAGGCCTCTCAAAAATTTTATGGAACTTTTTAAACCACAAATGATTTATACAGATGCCCATCCATTGGGCTTTGTGTTTAATATTGCTGCTTCAATGACCTTTGACGGAAACTATAACGAGTTATAACAACACGTGATTCTTTAATGGCCTCAAGCGACCTCTTTTGCTTGATAACAAAAAATACAAGCGTTAAAGTGTTTTGACCCTAACGCTTTATCACATACACATTTCAGCGACCTTTATATGTCACCAATTTAATAAATAAACCAAAGTATTTTAGACCGAAATATTAAGTCTTAAACATGACAGGTGTTGTTGTGACTTGTCTCCGTTAAAGGGACAGACATGCGAAACAGTAATTTTAATCTAAGAATACCAACTAAGAAAAGTTCGTTAGTTCACTAGCATGGGATTTAATCTTATAATGACTAATGGACCTTGCGCGTATGTTTCACAGAAAGCTGGTAAGACTTTTGTAGAGTGCGTCAAGGGATTGTTCGACGTCAACGTTCTGAAGAGCGAAATTGAGGCTGCGAAACCTAGGGGCGCTCTCGACGAGGTATTCAAGAAGTAAGTTCTTTATTTCGTGTATCGTTATCTCTCCTAATTAAAAAGGTGTTTTGTGAGGGCTAAGCGTTGTTGCTAAGCGAGCACGTGGTTCACCTGATTTTAAAAGACTACCGCCTTCAGTGAACATCTAAAACTCTTTGGAGCAGCTGATGCTACACCAACTTTTGAAGAATTCGGCCCAAGCTACCTCACTTGCAGAAACGTAAAAGTATCACTTCTACGTCACGTCGGCCTTCTGAGAAACTGGTCCTTTACCCTGGACGCGTGTTTCCATTTCCATATACAATAGACGACAGTAGTGCACTGATAGTGACTTGAAACACACACGGGTTTGTTGCGCTAACTCCCTTTTCTAAAATCGTGCTCGAATTGAAAAATTATTCAGAGCAAGTGTCTTCTATGAGTTTCTTCTAAACACGTGTTCTAGACGATGCGCGGAATTTAGCCAGGAAGTTCACGCGTAAACTACATCGCTCGCGTACATGTTCATTTGTTTTTGGAAAAATTTCCAGTGAATATATCAAAAAAGTCGTGTACAATTAACGTCGATCGTTCGCCGCAAAACAACAGTTTTACCATGCAGTGGAGGGGTTAAATCAATAGTTAAAATCATCATAATAAAAAAAAATTATATACACTGATGCCCCTAAACCAACCAAAAAGAGTTGAGTTTATCAAATTACGTTATTATATTTTTTATACAGCGTGTCGTTACAACCGCGACAATAAATGAACACACGTCTAACGCTACTTGCCAATAATCATAAAAAATATTATAAACTATAATATAATACTTTAAAAAATCCATAATTAAAAAAAAAAATTTCAAACAAACTAATTAAATGAAAAAGAAACAAAATTTGTAACATCCTATACAACTACAACTGACTAATTCATATAAAATAATTTATTCATATATGTTATAAAAATGTTTGTTTTGTAAAATTTAATGACTTGGTAAATATTGATGTGTAAAGAATGTAAATGCTTAATACAATTTTAAAAAATTATCCTCCACATGTGTGTTCATTTATTGTCGCAGTTGTAACGACACGCTGTATACCTAGTAGTAGGTGGATGCCTAATTTACTTTGAACTGATAGCCTAAATTGATTAAAAAAATAGTCTGCTTAGGTTTCTTGCCATTGGCGTATCTAGAATTATTTTTTAGGGTGGGCCTGGGCCTTTACTATGCGTCACATTAAAAAAGTAACAGTTCGTTATCGTTAATAATTTGTACAAATTTATAATAGTAGTATTAAGTAATTAGTAGTTGTGTCTTCACAAGTAAATAAACGGAATGTGAAAACTATGTACACAGATGTACAACATAGATTTCTCGGCTGTAGATAATTATTTCATTTCAATGAATTTTATGAAGATTCTTAGATGTCCAGCCTAGAATTGCGAATCAGTAACCTAAAATCCTGGGGTGGGCACTAGATAATACTGGGAATGGCCCACCCGGCCCCCCTGCTATATACGCCTGTTTCTTGCACATTCATGAAAAACACAAAAACGGCCTCGAACAAACACGGATTTGTAGTGCTTAATGAAGGCGTGTGCCTTGCAAATTAGTACGCGTTTAGAGAACGTGTATCCCTGTGTGATGGTGTTTAGAGAATGTATAACCCTATGTGTCCCTGAAATTAACTCCTTTATTTGCCAGTTAAAAGACGTTGCCATATCATCGTTTTCCCACCTCAGGTACTGCGCAAAGGCGCCAGAGCTCAAGGCTTGCATACACACCGCGACTGACGCCGTCAAACCTTGTCTGGATAAAATGGCGACGGACAATATCAAGCCGTTCGGCGAAGCCACAGACCAGCTCATCGACTTCGTATGCTACAAAGATGGCGACCGCATTGCATGTAAGTGTATCGATTATGGAACTTCGTTTACACGAATGATATAAAAGTGAAGACCAAATTGGTTAACTTTTTGAGTTCTTGTATAGGTTCATGCGTCTGCTATGTGTACTACAAGTCAAAATTGAAGGCGAGCTCCCGTACACTGAGCTACCGCGACTCTTTATTGCAACTTTGTATTATTTAGTACCAAATAACGCGGTTACGTGTCTGTTATCATCGTATTTTAGCTGACGGCCGATTAGGGATTTAGTTTATCGCACTTGGCTCTGAATCGTTTGTATAAATAAAACGCTTAGTTTTCAAATCTCAACATTAATAGATTAAAGTCGGTAGGAAAGCCGAGAAAGGCGGGATATATATCTCTTTGACTTTATATTAGTTTCTTATTAACTTTATATTAGCTTCTGAAAGCTCTAGAAGTACAATTAAAGTGTTGGTAGTAATTGTAATTTCTCACTCGTGTAGGCTAATTTAATTGCTAATTTTAAAAATTGTATTAAATTTAATTGCTATCTAAACTCACTAAAATAACACAGGTCGGCTCTATAATATTATATCTACACATAGTTCTAACATACATAACCAATTAGTTCATCCGCGAATGCGACCACAGCGGAACCAACACAACGGGTGCACCAAATACCCAGATTTCCAGGGCAGCTTTCAACGCCCATCGGTTAATACAGTTGACTGCCATCGGGTTCACGGTTCACAGAACCTCAATAGCCCGTATGTGACATCCCTCTTCATATAACGCACGCATGCGCGCCCCCACACAACATGGCGGGGCGTATCTGACTGGGGTTTTGCATTCGCTGAAGCTTTAATAGTCTACGTACCGACAGCAAAAACATCAGTTAAGGTCATAGATCAATATACTGTTACGTACGTATACTGGTTAAGGTAAAGTAAAATTAATAGCAACATCCCCTTCAGTGTTCATTGCAGAGGGCGGTCCCGAATGCATTCAATCAAAAGTTGGATCCATCCGCCAGTGCGCGGAAAATCTCAAGAGTAGCTTTCCATCGTTGGAGGCCGCTCGGAATTTAAGCCTTAAGGTAAGTTGAAATTACAGGGATTAATTCGTCTACAAAACTAAACTAGGAGCTAAATGAAAGAGTACTATTGAATTGTGTCTATTGTGTAAAAAATTATAGAGCGTAGAATATTACATTTTATTATTGAACACTACATTACATTAATTATATTGAAAATTGTCACAAGTGTATAATCTTTGTATATTATGTGGAGATAACTAAATTAAACTTTTCTCCAATTAAGAATGTAGCAAATGTTAATCCTATAACAAAATATCTATTGATTGTATTAATGCGAAAAATACATTAATACTTATTTAAGGGTAACACCTATAACGTAAACATTTTTCATAGGTATGTCTGTTTGTATGTATTGTAATTTAAATTATTTATAGAACTCATCTCCATACTTAAGATAAGGGATTAAAATTTTTAGAAAAAAGTCCGGATTCGCGCCCAGAAGACGTGGGTTCGATTCCCGCAGCGGCGAAAAACTTCTCGTCCATTTTTGCGAAAAATTCTTCACATGTAGGTACATATTGTATTCAACATTGCTCAATGTTTCGCAGGAAAAGTGCGGGAAATACGACGAGCTAACCTCGTGTATTGTGTCGGCTCTTGAAGAGTGCTCGACTCCAACGCCAGCCAATATGGCCGAATCCCTTCTGAGATACGTCCGCAAAGGCTCACCTTGCAAGGTACATAATTTATAGCGTCTTTTAGATATTGAAAAATCGAGAATAGTTTTACTTACTCAGATCGATGTGAATTTTATATATAAAATTTGTTTTTATTTTGTTACAGGACCAAGCCTGAGCCAACAATCAACAATGCCTATTATTAAAATCTCTGTAACTCAATAAACGCCTAATTATATTTTAATTCGAATGTTTTTTTTTTCTTATGTTTCCTTTTATTACTTTCTACTGATCTTATGTTTCCTGTTTTTTACCTTTTGAGCTACGGAACCCTATAAACTAGTTCCAGAACAATTATCTATCGGCCACACAAATACTCGTCCCGTGGGAACCAAACCCACGACCCACGGCGTCAAAGCCTTAGCTTAGCTTAGACATCACTGGGAAGTTACAATTTAAAATATTCAGGATTCGGTATGGAATACAGAATAAACAATAAAACAAAATAATATCATCGTAAATATATTTCTTGCCATGTCGAATCTAGTATTTATCACAAAGCTTACTATCACTTGTTACAAGTATACACAGACGTTACATGTTATATGAAAGACGGCGATTTTTCTCACAGGGAACGGATTTCGATAGCTGAATGCATGCATATTAGCATAATGTTGCACTATAAAACTATATTTTAAAAGTCAAACAATGTCTTACCTAAACATTTACGGCAAATAAATTGAATAGTACAGACGAACGCATAGAATACGGTGTAAACTACAATCATAATCAGTTTGTTACTACATTTTTTACACTTAAAAGTATGGTTTTATATTAAAAAAAAATATATTTAAGACCAATTTAGGACTAAAAACTAACAGGTACAAATATATTTACTATCAGTAAAAAAAGTATGTAGGAAAAACAATGGGAGGATATAGATTCGACTGCAGATTTTTAGAACAAAATTTAACTTATTAACATTAACAGAATTCGACTTTTTCCTTAAAAAGGAATTTTGCAAACTATTTTGACCAAGTCATTTAAGCTCTCAATTTTTTAGCAATCATTTAAAAGGCAAATTTTGCAAAAGTATTTATGCCTCTTAATATCTTCATTGAAGTCGTATTTTAAATTCTAATAATATTTTAAATTATTGTTTAATACCATATAAAAAAATAAAAAAAATATTTGATTAAAGAACAAGCTTAACCCCTAAATTACCGTTGTCATGGAATATAGGTAAATATGGAATGTAGAAAAATATTCTCTATAGATTAACCTTAAAAATTTATGCAAAATAAAAATATTTTAAGTCTCGCATAACCTGATTTTAAACACAAAAGAATAGGAACATATAAACTGTCCAATTTGATGAAACTTTCTGCTAATTCATAGTTTTAATTGTGGATATTAAGTTAACTAAATGACACAAATGAATACAGTGATATATAATTTCTTTTGCCTAAAATTAATCATAGCATATAAATGACCCTTGCCCTCAACTTTCAAACATTTAAAATAGCTAATTACCAAGGCTATAATTGCTAGTTATATTTTATTTATTTTTTGTATTTTTTTAACAATAGTGGCAATAAAATATTGAAGGCATTAAATATGTTGCAATGCTGAGTAAATTTCTTTTTTATTACGAAGTTTCATTATTAACAATAATCATGTAATGGATGGTAGTGAATATTTTGGCAAAGATTTGGCAAATTGGTGATATTAGGGACGATATGTAGTTTACCGAGTTTGGCTAGTCTTAATTCTAATAGATAAAACTAAATTCTCGAAAGTGTCATGTCACTAAAGATATGTAAAAATTGATTATATTGATTTTCAACACAACGATAAAGAAATTGATAAGTTAATATAAAAAATACACTATCAACTGATTATTCCTCTCAATACCCAAGCTTGATAATTCCGATTACTATTCATATAATTGATTCTCTAAAACGACATACCTGCAATGAGTTCGGGTTTTCATTTTTCAGTTGTACGTACAATTAAATGTAAAATAAAATTGTAATAACTATTTCAATATGCTTCATAGGATAGAAGCAGAAGGTGGGAGGCGCTAACGGGCTGGTTACCTGCCAACAATAAATACGTAACAGTTATCTAGAAGCCGCTTTGGTATTGATACGTTAGGGCCGTTCCGTTGTAGCATACGTTATCTGAGTAACATACTAAACTAACACTATAACACTGAAAGCCGTTCACACCTATCGATTGGCAACACTACGCGCGACATCCAACTGACGTATGACATGACACGAACAAGGATTTAGACGAGCATTTTCGCAAAGATGGCGGCAGTCAATGTCAACGTCGCTGCAACTCGGCACCCCGAGTTGGGATCCTGGGTCGTTTCCTGAAAATGAAATGTTCATATCAATACACGTATTCGATATATTATCCTAATTTAAAATATGTTTTAGTAAAATATAAGTAAAGTGAAAAAACAAGTAATTATTTTAGATAATACGATAGAACTTCACATATTAATAAATTTAATGATAGTTAAGCGCTAGATTGAAGTCTCAGAGTGGTTTCGTAATAATGAATTGATATGATATTTAAAAGGGACGGCCGCGGTTCGTATCACGATCATTTACACACTTATTTTTTTACTTTTTTTTCTATACCAGATCATTTTATTTATTTTTAATTTTTTTTATTTCCAAAATACATGATTTACCAAAAAAAACCTCCAGTCCTCCAGGTACTGATATTTAAAAGGTCATTACTATAAAATAATCGTAACTAAATATTTATGCATTTAGTACAAAAATAATTTTTGAACGTTTTAATAACTCAATCAGAATGTTTTGAATGTGAAGGTACGATCTTACCTTCAAAAATTTATTCGTTTTGAATCTAAACTAAAGGCTTGTGACTTAACTCAAAAATGCTGAATACTATTTCACAATTTATTTTATAATCTGTCCTAAACAGAAAAATAACGAAATAATTCTTGAACTAAACGAATAAATAACAACACGAGACATGTTTATAGTAAAGATCTTACACAAATTTAAAACTACTTCGCATCAACCTCACAGAAAGACAAACACGTTTTATAGTTTTATAGTTATTAAACGGCGTTGTCACCATGACAGAGGCAAAGTAATATGAACAAAAAATAGAATAAGGCTACGAAAGCAACCATTCACTATGCCTCCACCGAATAGAAAATATTCCATGGACGCAAGTATTTTATCGAATTTTATGATATACGCAAAAAAACATTAAGCTAAGAAACAAACGCCCGCCTAACATGAGCTAGAGCAGTTTTAGAATCGAAAAAAAGTAAAGTAACAGCCTATACATGTCCCAGCTGGGCAAAGGCCTCCTCTATAGAGAGGGTCTCAGGGCATAGTCCACCACGCGGCCCCACTGCGGATTGGCGGACTTCACATATCTTCAAAAATATTTTTTTTGGTTATTATTTCGAAAATATGCAGGTTTCCTCACGATGTTTTTCTTCACCGCGGACCACGTGATAAGTCAGCACTTAAAGTTAAAAACTTCATTGGTGCCGGCACCGGGGATCGAACTCAGGTTGCTCGAGTATTTATTGAATTAAAGGCGAGCGCCCGGACACTGAGCTATCACGGCTCTAGAATCGTACCAAAATATAAATAATATCTCATAATTTTCGGGAAGTTATCCTACTGCCCTTAGCCCACCTAGGTGGGCTCAGCACAAAAAGTAAATCATGTTGTAAGCGGTTTTGGCTACGTTTCGAACGACCAGCCGTCTGCCTGATGGATCACACACAAATACTTGTACGAAAAGATTGTCGCTCTGTGGGATTCGAACCCACGTCTTCAGCATTCGCGGCCTGACGCTTTAACCACTAAGCTAAACGACTGATTGCCACACCGACGAAAATCTTAACGTCTTTTATCTACATTATTTTTTAGCACGTGAAGCTATGCTTGGCGCGTCCATTGTTATATCCTTTCCAGCATACAAACAATTTTGAATTTCGTTTTACAACGATAATTCGAACGAGAGAAAAAATGTATCTGTTTTGAAAAGATCGCACGATGCCTAAAATAATAATTCATCTATTTATTCATTAATTCGCAAAAAAAAAGAAACTATAAAAGCGATCATAGAAACACAGCCAGCGTATTTAAACGAAAACGATGCTTAAACGGTGACCTGTACGAAAAGCTAAAATAGTTTTTAAACAAAAATTGCTGAAGCAAAACGTGCATAATGGCATCAGCACTTACGGCCTTCTGACTCTTCAGATTGACAGCATCGGTCTCCTGATTGCAAGGGTAAGAGAAACGGATAAATCTACTTTATAATTTCATTGGAGACAAAAATTAATTAAAATACAAATGCCCGGTTTCTGAAACACTGATCATTGTAAAGTCACCTAACTAGTTGTCAAGTGGTTTATCAAATGTTATTTGAGTTGCCAAAAGGATTGTTAAACTCTTTGAATTGATCATTCTGATCACTAAGAAGATCATTCTGATCAATTCAGAGAGTTTAACAATACTTTTGGCAACTTAAATAATATTTGAAAATCCATTCGACAGCTGATTAGTTGACTTCTACGTTGATCAGTGTTTCTGAAACCGGACGAAAGTCAGTTTAACTTAAGTCTGCTTAAACTTTAGATATTTTTTTTAACAATTTATTGATGCAATACAAATAATGGAAAAAAGTCTACAGACTATTCATATTAGTCAACCGCCATTTTTCCAATGCTTTTGTAAAAAAAAAAAAGAAAGGCCGCCGAACGGACACATGATCCGTGTCCGCTAATGTCAAAGGTTATAAATTTTTTTCTTATTATTGCATGCCAGTCTTCGTTCTATTTTTTTAAATTTTGTATATACAGTCCGTGAAGTCGTGAACCATCGGGAACTAATTAAAAATAATTTTTGCACTTAATTACCGAGCAATTAGATGAAATGGGGCCTTTGTTTGACATTTATTAATCTGGTACTTTTACTTTTAAAATATTAAATAGCGTTTCTTTCCCCTTTATTATTATTAGCTATTAACAAATAATAACTCACCGGAAGCTCCTTGCAGGGCAAGGATTTGCGCGCGAACTTGAACAGGGACTCGATGATGTTGGCCGAAGTGGGCACCGAGCAGGTTTCCAGTGATTTGACTACGCACTTCTGCACCTCGGTGATCTGGTTGCACTCCTTTTCCTGTCAACAAGCGAAGGAATGCAACGGGTTCCCCGATAACTCGGCGGCGCGGTTGCCAAGGTATTGGCACGGCGCCGGGCACGGCGCCGTGCCAATACCGGCACGGCACGGCGTCGATTCCCGCACGGAACAGCTGTTTGTGTGACCCACGGATAAAATTGTTTCGGATGTCCGAGTGTTTTTCCACGTGAAATATATCTATACAACGTCGTCACAACACTATATAATGTTATCCCGAATCATCCTAAATACTACGTTTGGGCAATGTTTTAAAAAAATTAAGTGAATTGGAATTGCGGGGCTTTCTAGAAAAATCACTGTAGGCGGCAAGCGTGTCGAAGCGCTAGTGGACATGGCGACTTAATAATATAGGACATTTTGTAAAGGACGTTTAATATACAGGAACATCATATGGATACCACCGTAATCCGGGAACAATTATATGCGGTTCGCGCAAATACTTACACAGTGTTGAAGTGAAACCCACGACCCCCGGTGCCCCACAGTGGGCAAAACGAAGCAAGCCTTTGAAAACTTCTATGAAGGATCAGATACTTGCAGTTTACGGTGACAGTGTGACCATACCTTTACCTTGGTCGCGTTAAAGATAAATCCTCTTTATCCTACGTCGGCCAAGTTTTAAGTGAAATCATGGATACGCTAACTGAAATGACGTTTCGAATCTCACCCCTAAGTTGATCTCCGGAATAGTGTCAGGAAACTCGTTCGGGTTGAACTTGTAGGATATGTTGAAGGTCTTGTTCACGCACTCGTTGATCATTTCGCTCTTCTCCTTCAGACACTCCGGGCCTTTCTCCGCGATGAACACTGAAAGGTCGTGAGTGATAATTTATTTACTAACCGGTTTCTGCATTGCTCAAACATTATGCTTCCTTGTTTTTAGAGATCGCAAGGGAAGTCGTGATCGTCTTTAACGTATATGATGTCACGCTTTTGCCATATGACATCAAGCTATTGCCATAGAACAGTGAGGGGGCTAGCGAAGGCGTTCCAGGGAAATGCTTTTACAGAGTAAAAGTAAAGTAACAGACTATAAATGTCCCAATTCTGAGCAAAGGCCTCCCTCTGTACAGATAGTATTAGGGCATACACCACGCGGCCCTACAGCGGTTTGTCGAACTTTACATATCTTCGAAACATTTTTTTGTTGTTACTTCGAAAATATGCAGGTTTCCTCACGATGTTTTCCTTCACCGTTGAGCACGTGATTTTTCAGCACTTAACAGTTTCATTCGTGCCGGCACCTGGGATCGAACTCAGGTTGCTCGAGTATACTGTATTAAACGCGAGCGCCCGGACAATGAATATTAATATTAATAATAAGACTATCACGGTCATTACCGTATACTGGATCGAATTCAGGTTGCTCATTAGCAATGATCTATACACAGTTATAAGTAAACTGACCCGACGAGGGCGATTACTGGCCGTACATCCCGGTCTTCCCAGATTCGAATTGAATTCCATCCTCTGCTCCTAAAGCAGTGAGCGGTATACTCACGCGCGATCCGGTCGCCGTCCTTGAAGCAGATGAACTCGCCCAGCTGTTCGGTCACGTTGTGGAACGGCTTGAGGTGCTCCCGTTCGGCGGGCGCGAGGCAAGGCTCCACCGCCTCCGTGGCGTTGCGGAAGCAGCTCATGAACACGGGACGCTTGTCGCAGTACCTGAAGCGTCACATCGCATGGTAAGAGACGAGCCTTCAAATACTCACGTAATAGTATGGGATGCCAACTTAGGAATTTTCTTCCTAAATTAAGGAAGAAAAATATACAATGGAAAATTTTTAGGAGGTAACTTTTTGTGAATATTTTTAGGAGTGAAATTTTATTCACATTTTTGAAAAAAATAAAACTACACAAAAAGAAAAAGAAAACTATAATTTAATAGTGCTGTGCTGCTTTGATGGACGTCAGGCCAAGGCTTATTTGTCTTGTGTGTATTGGATGTATTATTTCTTCAAAATATAAAAATATTGTCACTCATGATTGCGTGTTCTGGGGTGTTAATAATAAATAATTGAATTATGTATTAAGTTTTAACGTTATTATTCCAAACTTTGCAATAAAACGAAAAAAAAACTTAAATAAACTTTTAACGTACGCCGGACTTGTAGGACTCACTGGTCCTAAAACAAACTCTTACAAAAATATATTTAACATTTTTTTTTATGAGTTCCGGCCGAACGCCTAAAGTTTACAAGAAAACATAATCGTTTCTCATCTCACTCGGGAATTGTACCCAGGACGTCCGCAAATCAGACATGTAAGGGTATACATATTACGTACTCCCACGCTCACGACTTCCTACTTCAGACTAATCAGAGGGTCTGGCCAATGAGGGTCAGTATTTCGTTTATTTTATAGTTTGTGCAAAAATTTGAACGTATTTTCTTACCCTATGCATTTTTCATCAGACCACTACTATTAGTGGCAACTTTCATTGAATCCAAGCAACACTTTAAGACCTCAAGATTCTTTAAACAATTTACAACATAGGATAATGTAATCCTACGGTAAAGGCAACTTTAAAAAAAAATCGACGGGTTACTGTGGTATAAGAAAGTAAAACAACTCAGTATCTCCCGCGACCATGATAGTTATAAAATGTTCGAAACGTCTGAGATTTAAAAACTAAATAGGTACCTATAATGCGATAATGCTCTTATTATCCTTAACTTTTTTCTCCACCTCTTGGTTCAGGCAAAATATTTTAGGTATCCCCAAATGGCGAATAAATGAATTTAGTTACAAAATAAGAGACGTTTATCCGTACGGCGATTTCGAACAATACGGGGATCATGTGAGCTCTTCGAAAAAATTTTGATCCCCACATGGCGAATAGGACACATTTTATTACACAACGTTCTCCAGTCCTAGAATAAGCAACGCTTGTACTATGGGTACTAAATAACTGATAAAAATACTTAAACATACATTTCTTTTGTATATTACATATTATAAATACATAAACACCCAGACACTGGAAAAACACATCATTGTGTGATGACAATATTTTTTCAACAGTGGGGATCGAACCCGCACCCCCTGGCGCTAGGCGTAGAGTCACTGCCCACTACGCAAAGCGGGTCCTATTGGGAAAAATGAATCTAGTTACGAGATAAGAGACGTTTCGTAAGTCAGTATATAAATAAAATATGCATATTTAAAAAAATGTTTGGGTGCGAACATACTAAAGCTTTACTGTGACGTATTAAATGTCGGACATCTCTTTTAGGTCTCACCCAAATACAAGCAGACCTGCTTAAAATCAAAATAAAAACGTATAAGTAGCAGGTTAAAGTACATAATAAAAAAAAACCGACATTAAGATTTTGATAAATCGCTCGAGGCACGTGACGTGTGATTTCAACAGAGGCCGATGGCCTCAAACAAACAATGTCATATTTCACCAAAACTTCGGCACAAGCATTTTTTGACGCATGAGCATAATTATACAGTAATTTGTGCACACGAAACTTATGTAAGACTACTACTATTTTTCATTTATATATTTTCACTTCAGAATCAGAATAGGAAATAAAATTTAATATACAATCAGGAGTTCTGAAATGTAATATTGACCTGAGCAAGAAACAGAAATATTGGTAAATAGAATAGTGTTCTTGTACTATGAAATATTCGAAATATTTGATAGAAGTTAAAAAAAAGTAAGTACCACAAAGACCTTTAACAGAGAGTACATTGAATTCATATGAAGAGACTTTTCGTTCAACAAACGTTCTTTCCTAACTGAAGTATTTAAATATACATTTAATATTTAAAAATGTTTAAACCTCCAACATTTTTCATACATATGAAAAAGCTTTGCAGTAAGAATTTATATTAAGCTTAAATATACTAATTTAAAATTATTACGGCTAAATTATTCCGTCAAATGAGCACTTACTTCTTGAACACTTCATCCACTCGACCATCGGGCTTGGCTTTTTCGATCTCTTCATTGAGCACTTGGAAGTTCACCAGGTCTTCTGTGCACTTCATGAATTTCTTAAAAGCCGCCTAGAAGTATAGAGAGAATATCTTTAGTTGTTTTTGCTTTTTTTTAAAAAAAAAAAAACATTTCCCTTACTTTAGGATAACATTATCCTGTGTTGTTAGGACGTTTTACGTTAGCTAGTTAAAATATCCATGAGCAATTTTAATTTGTATCACGTCCATACAAAATCTCGAATGAAAGATTGTAAATAATGTAATAGTTGTGAACTCTATCACGCAGAGAAATACCAAGCGCAGTTCGCTGAGCAACTTTGAGCTTCCTCAGTGGCTCAGGATCGTGCTTCGAGGCAGTCTGTGGCTTATGGTCAGCAGTAGACTCAAACAGGCTGAAATTATGATGATGATGATGAATGTAATAGTCTGCCCTGTGACTATTGACACTGAAATATTCAAAATGTGGGGAATTTAAAGCCAAATTAGCAATAGCTGCGTTTCCAACTAGCGATGGTCCCCGTGGTTCTAATAACGTCATTAAAATGTAAAGTCGAATCACCCTATTCATTCGAAAAGTTATATTCACTGTGGTATGGCGGCAGCGTCTACTATTGCAAGAATTTGAACAGATTGCATTTAATAGATTGCGAAGAAAAGATTGCAAGAAGTAGAATGGCCTTAAAGTACACCGGCGTGATGTGGCAGTATTATTTAAACGCTCGGCTATTGCACGAATGGGGCAGGCTCGTCCGGGTAAGTACCACGACCTCACAGAAGATCGACGTAAAGTGGAAGTATAGTACTTTCGTGTTTCGTCTGGTGAGTGAGGTAGCTGGAGCCCAATTTTCAAAAGGTTGTCATCAACGCATCTGCAACGCTCGGGTGTAGCGGATGTCCATGGGCGGCGGTATTCACTTAACATCAGGTGAACCGTGTGCTCGCTTGGCAACTTTTCACATAAAAAAAATGGTAACTGAGGTAGCCGGTGCTCATTTTTTAAAAGTTGAAAACGCATCTGCGAGCATTCAGCTAATATAGATGTTAATGTGCGTCGGAAATCACTTATTTTAGAACGGCCTACTCATTTGTCACATTAAATATATCATCTCATAAAATATCATATCTCGTGAACCATGAAAATTATCGAAATGTAAAGTACATCCAAATTTAAGTTAAAACAATTTTTTGTAACCACATAACTTTCATTAAATTCTGTCGAGGTATAACGGTGACTTGTTTGGGCATAGTATAAAAAGCAGTTTTCACTAAGTTTTGGTATTTATTTGGAAATCACAGATGGACACCTCAATTTTATTATTATTAATCCAAGAAATCGATATTATTAGACGGAAAATCGAATACAATACCGTCAAATAAATAACAAATTTAATTGATGAAATTAAAGGATTAATCCGACTGTAACATACAGTTTACGCTTAAAACAGTATATGTTGTCTTTGATAGATAGAATAAAAAAAATAAAAAATAAATGACTTTTGTCTGCAGTGTACTGTGTAAAGCTCAGTCAGACACAGGGCTCTCAAAAGCCTACAGATTCCAATCACGCGCTATGTTTGTGAGCTACCGAGGTGTACATATCTTTGTTCTCTCAACCAAAGAACTAGAAAGCTTTGTGTACTTTAGCGAGTAAGCCAATAAGTGCAAATTTCAATAGACAAAATTTATAAATGCTTTTCACTATACATTCAATTTCCGCAGTGGATGCTATGTATGACGTAACAGTGTGATACTGTACAGGCAACGACATAAGAATATAATAAAGAGATGAAACAACTCAGGCCCAAAGTAACTCATGGTTGACTGTACTTAATATCGTGTGAAGTAGAAATAAAGGCACTAGTGGTCTAATTATGTAGTTATAATGCAAGGTAAACGTAGATACGTCGTAACTACAAATGACTCGGTTTCATGAACAATTTGAAAAGCTTGACTTTGCCACCAGAGTCGGTGGTTCGATCCCCACTCGGGACAAGCGTTTGTGTGAACAGATAATTGTTGCAGATCTGACTGTTTATTCCCAAGGAGGGTTAATGTCAGGCAAACGGCCTGTTGTGAAAGAACCATTAATTACCATTAGCAACATGATCCATGTGTTCTCCTCAGCCAAACCAGGTGGGATATCTTTTTTTTAATCTTTATTTTTAGAAAGAAGTTTCGAAGGTGGGATAAAAGCGGAAAAACGAACGTAGACATAACTAATTGACAAAGTAGAAAATTCAAACGTAACATGTCGTCAGCCTAACTTTGTTACGAGTATACATTGAAAAACGGTTAAACGCTTGGTGAATGCCACCTGAATTCGAATTTCGAATCGAATTCGAACCCCAACCTCGGCCGATACCACCGGCAGCTATACCGTGGCCACTACTCGCTCAGAAAAAAAATTGAAATAATTAAATAAAAATTAATAATTAAAATTAACTGACTCAGAAAAAAATTAAAACTAATGAAGTAATATTAATAATATAGGATCTAGAATAAGAACATAGACAGTAGAAATTCATTGCGAAGATAAAAAATATGTTTGTATTCATAAGTGAAAAAAACTTATGTAAACAAACGAACGTGGACGGGTTTGTTTTAAAACCTCATTACCACAGTAGTCATTGTGGTCTAATTTTGCAAAAGAACATACACTAAGCGTAACTTATGCAGTGATGACGACAATTCACAATAATAATAGGAATCAGTATAAATTTAACAGATATCGATTAAACTCCGTGTCAAGAGGTCGTCAATATCGGTTAGGATGGACCAGTTGTGTTGATTCATGTATACACTATTGTACTGCGGTTTACATGTGCCTAATACATCAATCACCTAGTAACATTTCAACATGCTCACACGTTCCAGTGTACGAATATAAGAAAAATTCACCGTTCTAGAACGACAGGCGTATAAAACAAAACGAATATAAAAAGACAAGCGGCCTATTGTATCACCCAAATAAAAGCTCTTTTCCCCTTGACCTCTTTTAGCTAGACTTTATGATGCGAAATTACTTGCTTTCCAACTCCACGGAGATATCTGTATGCAGAATTTTAGATAGGAGCGTAATAACGTATATCAGAATCTAGATGAGGTAGTTAGTTGTGTATGCGAAACAAATGAATTCCGCATGCGAATTATTCATCCAATCCCCTGACGTTGCCTCGACTTGATAACGAACATTCTAACAACACTGCATCGAATGGAACTCGATTTCAGATGAATCGTGTTGACATAACACAACAGGAAACAATGATGAAATGAATTTCAAGAAAAAAAGTATATTGGGGATTACCGCCAATTACAGACAAAGAAATATCATTTCACGGTTTACGAACATCATTTAAATTTAACTAGCGACTCGCCCTTTCTTATACATATGAACCTTCCTCTTGAACCACTTATCTAATTTAAAAAAAAACGCATCAAGATCCGATGTGTAGTTTTAAAGATATAAGCATACATAGGGACAGGCTGACAGAGGGACTACTTTGTATGTTATGTTGTTATTAGATGACCAAAGTTACTTTATGTAGTTTTTCATAAGACAAACTTAATTTAAACCTTGTGCAGCATCCTTCTTAAAACTGCGAAAACTTATTCGGACTCATTACTATATAACACTTATCCAGTTTGCTCCCAAATTAGACTTAAATACCTAGATATCCTGGTTCAGTTCCAATAAAATAAAATAATAAATAAAAAGGTTTTAAACATGCATCATACGCCAAGAGAACATTTGAATATTTTGAGTATAAGAAGTCAGGAGTCACATTAATTACTACTTTAAAACCAGTCACGCCAAAGGTCGTAGCAGATCAACAAAAACAGTTTTCAAGACTGCGAGGCCGTCATTGTAAACAGATTAGCAGTTTGAATAAATAAGCATTTGAGAAATGAAATTAACACAATGTTTAAAACAATGTAACAATTAAATACGAGAATGTAAGCAAGGCATAATATATAAAAATGACAATGTTTAAGTATGTTTTGCCTTGAGAATCATTAAATATATTACACGTGTCTTTTATGACCATAAGGATTAGAAAGTAAGCGTCATCTTTCATTCTCAAGCAGTTCCCATAACGTCTAACGTAATTAAGAACATTCCATGCACTTTCATGGTTTCCGCATATGTACGCTATATTCATCACGTAAATGAACCAATTACAACCGAAGCCTCATTTCGATCCGAGTTAATTTTCTCAGAGAACATTAATCGCTAAATAAAATTAGCGTATTTCATAAGCGATGTATAACTAACTATAGCCTGTCCCAGATTAAAGTTTAAGTTTCCCGATGGCACAGAATTAAGATACGGACAAATAAAGTTAGGCTTAATAATTAACCACTTCCTCTAGGAACCAACGGCACCTAGCAAATATTATAGTATAGTATGTTTTTAGTGTTTTAAAAGTTGTGTAGTTTAGTGTTTCAAATTAAATAATAAATAGTGCGTAATGACCCAACTATTTATTATTTAATTTATATGTAAGTATGATTGTTCCTTCTTCGCACCGCAATCTTTAGACAGAAATATCCATGACCTTCATAACTTAGAACGAACCTCTATTACCCCATATTATTCCTAATGCACAACAACTCTGATTCGAAATAGACTAGAGCTATATAATATTAATTACTTCGCTATTTCGAAGTAGAGTTAAGTCATGCATTAGACTATTTCTACGATTCTGTATCCGTTGAATCTATAAAGTTAAAAGTTTAGCGAAAACACCATTAGACAAAGAATAAAATGTTTATTGAATAACTATCAGAAAATTAACTTATTTAATGATGATATTATATTTCCTATCCTTTGTGTCTATGATAGAGCAAACAAAAAGTAGTTATTATTATTTTTTTGTGTTCTTTTAAAGTTTGCACCTGAATTACGGGTGATCATTATAAATGGTTGCTAGTAAATCCGGTTCTGCGTTTTGATTTAAAAGTGTGATCATTACTTGATCGTGTGTTCTCTCCGGCGAGGTTTTTGCTTATTAATAAGTTGGTGACGTACACTCTTTTCAACCGACTTCAAAATAGGAGGAGGGTTCTCG